GGATTTAGCGAGTTTTGTATTCCTCTTAATGACAGGAATCAAATTTAGTTTTGTCAATTTTACAAGATGAAGAGCTGAATTGTTAGACCTTCTCACTTACTGGACCTGGTTTATGAATTGTTTAGCATTTAGTATTCACCAAAAAAAGAATTGTCAATGTGAATGATAAAAAATTTGACTGTGGTTTTAAATGATTTAAATAAAATGACGTCCTTATGTAACCTATCGATCAATAATGTGAACTATTGATTTTGTTATTGAACAGTTTTGTTTTTCTCCTTGAATCTTTCTGGAGGAAATATTCACCTCGCTACAATTTTATGGCAAATATGGTAAAAAACTGAGCGAAAAAATTAACCTGTGAAAACAATATTCTTGAAATTTTGAGTTCATATATCGATAAATTTAACATTTTCTTGTTTATACTGGTGAAAATTTCACTAATTCTACTTGTATCCGTAAGTTGAATCAATGAAACTTTAGATTTTGTGGGGTTTTTTCTAGGTAACTATTAATAGCTCAACCCAAAGTGGTGTATTTGCTTTCCCGTGTTACAGATGGGTAATCAATGAAATTGTTTTGTTGCCTGGAGAAGGTACATATATCGCAATGTACATTTGTTATTTTAATCAGAGTTTTCTTTGATTTGTTTTCTTTATCGTTGTTGATGAAGTGGAAGAGTAGAATAAAAAATGTCTCAAATTTCATTCCAAATACTTCATTTTAGCGTGTCATCTTGGTGAAATATTTGATAAGCTAGAGTCATTTTATGTTTCAAAATTGTCTCCACACCTTTCAAAAATTACCCTGTGAAAAAGTAGCATCACGCCACTTACTCCTCTCTCTTCCCCACCCCACAGTAAAATATTGATTCGGAATATATCATTTCGTAGTTACTATCTTACAGTAAAGTGAAAAAGAAATTCGTGAAAATTATTTTACTTTGTCCCAAACAATAATGAAAAGTGACCTATTTGTGCAATAAAAACAAACGAAGCTATTCATAAAATTCTTTATACAGTTTGTAAATAAGGATGGCTTGAAAATTAAAAATGACTCGGCAATCAAACCAGCAAACTTGCATAAAGCAAACTAGTAAATGCTTTAGTTAAATGTGCTAGTTCAACGAAGTGTAAAATTAAAACTTCAGTTAAAAACTCTAAAATATTTCTATATCGTGTAGCAAATTTACCATTCCATGATATGCCACCGGTAGTTGCCGAGCAACGCCAAAAAGAACTAAAGCAAAGAAAGGAAATATATCAATGGGATTGGGTAACAGATCACATGCCTGGGAGTATTAAAGCTGAAACTCATGACGATCTTCCTAGAGACGTCCAGTTTACTGATGAAAAATCAAGGTCAGAGCAGAGAAATATGAACTGCGAAAGCATTATTAAATTGGTGTTGTTGTACTTGTTTATGTGCATAAACATGTTAATTGTTGAACATTTTATTTAATGATAAATCTGTGCATTTTTTAAAAATAAGTCAAAATTCAACCACCGTAGAGTTAAATTTTTACAATGAAGTTATACAATGTGTTACTGACGCAACCCTGGCCATTTTTATTTAAAAATTCGAAAGTAATGGTGTTACCTATATAATGTATCTGATGTTATGCTAATTATGTTAATAACTGTATTTACACACTGAACTCTCAAAAAATTTTTAATAGATGATGGTATGGATGTTTTGATGGAATATATTATCACAAAAGCAAATATTTTCATCCCTGCTTATTCATGGCCTTTGATAACTCGACTATATATGACTAAATAGATAATATTAATCTACAGCTATGTTGTAAAATAAGCTTTATATCGCACATCAGCAATATTATGTTCAAAAAATTCTATTTATATACTTACCAGATCCTATAAGAGGAGCAGATTGACTGCTTTAGCCAATTTGGGCATCGGTAAAGTTGCAATGCTATTTGAAGATTGGGACAGTTATGACGATTACAAAAGTCTATATCACGAATGGCTACTAGGTGATCTTCCAGCTTATGAAAGCTCCTGGGATCAAGATCGCTGGTTTGCCTACCAGTTCTTGAATAGTGCTAATCCAGTTAGTATCACACGATGTGACGCTATACCAAGCAAATTCCCGTAACTGACAATGATGTCAAGGCGTTTCTTGATAGAGGAAACACTTTGCAACAAGAAATAAAGGTTAGAAGCTCATATATGTTGTACTTGTGATACTTTTACATTGAGAAGTGGTTTCAAATTCATGAATAACTCCACCGTTTTATATGTTGGTTACAGCACAATAAAAGATCTGAATACTTACTTTGGATCTACATTTTGGCACTGTTGCTACATCACTATGGAAACTCCTTAGCTAAACTGGGCTTTAAACTACAACCTTCTTACACAAAATATGATATTTAAAGTTTATAATAACACTTTGCTGTCTCACGATGCATAGTTTTCCAAATTGGTGCTATAAGAAAACATATTCTATAGACTTATGAAATCTTGCTAAGATAGACAAATATGCTCAAAAGACATTATGTCACGTTATAAACATTTGTCTTAAAAATGTTTCGTCATGCTCTCAAGCAGCATTACGAGGCATCATTTCTCCATGCATGCACCGATCGACAATATTTTTAAAGTTAAGTATACTTAACATCCCTGAAACGATTATTTAACTGCTCACACAGCTTACGTTTAAAAAGAAAAACATGAGGGATTTAATATATATATATAACCGTACATCCTGTGTCCCAAATGCATGAGTCACCATTGCACTATGATGATAGCCGTGAGGGCACATTGTATATACATTTTGTATATACTCAGAATTGTCGTATTTTATTAATAAGTATAACAATTTTGACTTATTTTATCTAGAATGGCCATATTTATATTGTTGATTATGAAATTTTGGTTGGATGTAAAACATATGGTGGACCTGTTCTTGATGATTTTGGTTACCAAGCTCCTGATCATCTTAAACATGATAAAGCTGATGTAAGATACTGCGCAGCCCCACTTGCTCTATTCTATGTGAATAAAGAAGGGCATCTCATGCCAATAGCAATCCAAATTAATCAAGAGCCAGGTCCTGAGAACCCAATATGGACGCCACACGAACCAAACCCATATGATTGGATGCTAGCAAAGCTTTGGCTTCGTTGCTGAATCTAATTTCCACCAGGTTCGTTTATCTGAGTTTACACAGCAAACTACGGACTATTTTTTCAGCTACATAATTTATCTGCACAAAGATAACTTGAACATTAAAGTGCATTCTTTTTAAGTGAAAAACTTGTTAAATATTGCACAAGCATTTTATGGCAGATAATTGAAGTATTTAACGTCTTTTTTTAGCTTTGTACGCATTTACTGCGCACTCACTTAACAACTGAACCATTTGCATTGTCAACATGGCGTAATCTTTCATCAGCTCATCCAATATTTAAGTTACTTCAACCTCACATCTATGGAGTGCTAGCCATTGATACTATTGGCAGGAAAGAGTTGATTGGTACAGGAGGAATTGTTGACCAATCTCTGTCACTCGGAGGTGGTGGTCACGTGACGTTCATGGAGAAATGCTTTAAGCAGGTTTGTTGCCTCTTTTATGAATATAACATCAATCCAATTTTCCAAATAAAATTGTATTGAGAAATCATTTGGCAAAACGTTTTCATACATTAAATTTCCCTTTAAAAGACCACCACTCCATTTGCCTTTATTAGACCACATTTCAGGATTACAATTTACCAAAGAATCTAAAAAAACGTGGAGTTGATGATCCATCAAAACTTCCTGAGTATTATTATCGTGACGACGGACTCGCCCTGTGGGAAGCTATTGAAAATTTTGTAGGTGAAATAGTTGGTATTTTCTATAAAAGTGATGACGACGTCAAGAAAGATGATGAAATTCAAACTTGGATACTTGATGTTTATGAAAACGGTTGGCGTGAGACGCTTGGAAATCCAACCCACGACCTCCCAGCTAAGTTTGAGTCTCGAGAGCAACTTGTAGAATTGTTGACTTGTTTGATATTTACGTTTTCTTGTCAACATGCAGCAGTAAACTTCAGCCAAAAGGATCATTATGGTTTCACACCTAATGCTCCTGCTATCATGCGTAAGCCACCACCAAACAAGAGAGGAGAAGCAACATTAAAGTCCATTCTATCAACTCTTCCAAATAAATCTCAGGCAGTCAAGGCAATAGCGACAGTTTATATATTGACCAAATTTTCAGAAGATGAGGTATTAATTGTTTCTTCGTTATTAATTAGTAACAATTATTTTATTTCACGTGACTGCTTCGTTCTGTCTAAGTAAGAAACAAAGAATTTTTTGAAAGGAACAGCACTATCACATTTACACAGTCAATCTAATGCATTTTCGAATTTCTAGTTACTCATGATCAAAAGTAATACTATTAATCATTGTCTTTTGAAAACCCGAGTTGATGCATTAATTTAATGCTAATTGCTTTAGATTTTCCGTATAGATTTTTGTGCGTATGGCTTAGATAACGATGCTACACTAAGACTCTAATTGGCAAACTAGCTCTATTAAAATAATCATTTAATTATGTATTTCTATATTTTTAGCGTTATTTAGGTAATTACAGCTGCACTGCTTGGGAGGATTTGGAAGCCCTTGGTGCCATATCACGCTTTCAAAATAATCTGGAGGATATTTCTGAGAAAATCAAAAAGCGAAATAAAGTTTTGGAAATTCCCTACATTTATCTTCTTCCTGAACGTGTTCCAAACGGAACAGCAATTTGAACTTCACTTAATTTTTGTCTATTTTCTCATTTTCCACGTGACTGCTAGTAAACTTATCGATATTAGGCCTATTATTTTGAAGGAAACGTACAATATAAACATTTTTTTACATAATTATTTGGTCCTCTTTGGGACAGCTTAGTTGATATGACTGCACACCATACTTGTGGGTATAGTCATTGATTAGTTGATATAACTGCACAACACCTTGTGGTACAGTCGTGACAAAGTTGATATCACTGCACATAATTTTTGTGAAACAGTTATGAATTAGTTGATAGTACAAAAAGTTTCCTATTAAAATTTTGTTTTAATTTCCTTCATTTTTTGTTCTTTCCATTTATGCATGTGCATATGTCGACTTGATGAGTTATGGAGTTTTTTACTAACGGCTTTTTTCTATATTGCTTGTATTTATTTCATCAGTGAGAATAAAGCCTTAAGACTGCAATTTTTAAAATTGGAATATTTTATTCTCAGGCCCAGTTCAAACGTCGCATTTTACATGCGCCGAATGAAATGCGAAAATTATGTGCATGTAAAATGCGACGTTTGAATCAATTAAATTCGACGGATTTTAATTTAATGCGACTTTAGTCGCATATTCGACTGAGTTAGTCGAATATTCGACGAAAATTCGATGTTGATTCAAACGTCGCATTTTACATGAGCCGAATTTAATGCATAATTTTTTTAAAGATATTTCTAAGCAAAAAGCAATTATTTCCATGCTAAATGCCATGCGCAAAGTTGTAAAAACATGGTGGCGGCGAGTGATGGTAATGGCCCTCGTATTTCGTGCACAAGTTTAACAAAATACACTTGTTTAAAGTGCAAAAATTTTTATGTACAAGGTGCTCTATTTTTGAAGACGACGAAGAGAGTGTTGGTTGGAAAGCAGAACGAGCGGTTTCTCGTTGCAATGCATGCTTTCGTGAAAAGATTGGGAGTGAGGAAGTCCATCAGTAAATTGGTAGGAGTACATATTTTCGGGCGAGCATACGTTCATTTCGATTGTCCTCTTGTGAGAGCACCGAAGGTGAAGTAGAATCGACCAAGGCCTTTAAAACAATTGAATAAAAATTCTTGTAGTTATGATATTTTTTGCACGCTTGAAGACCACCGGGGTGAGGGGGCATTTTATAGGAATATGACAACCATCCAAAGCATCCCAGATACAAGGAAATTGCCATAATTCTTCCATGTCTACGATTTTTTTCTTGAAATCAGTCTGACATTTCGGCATGTTTTTTTGAAATTATTTCATTCCATAAGTATTCAACGCGAAGTTGACATACCTGCTGCACAATGGTGCTCACCGTTGATACTCCTCTTCCTGCCATTTCAGCGATGGTCTAAAAGTAATCTCCTCGTTCCAAACTGTAAAGGCATATACCAAGTCATTCCTCCGGATAAATGGGCTCCTCTGTGACAGTTTGCTTTTGAAGTATAGATCGAATACGACTTAAAATAAAAAGAAAGTTTCCTCGAGATACACGAAATGTTTTTTTGAATCGAAGATCAGAAAAAATACTCCCAACTTTCTTCCACCTGCCGGAATTTCTATCTTGTCTTCGACATGATCGATAAGGAGGGCTACGTATGAAGGCATTTTTTTGACCAATTAACCGTAGAAAAACATGGGAAATTTGCAGAAGCTGCCGTCTCTTTTCCAATAGTTTATTTGCTGTAACATGCATCAATATTCGTCTTTTCCTATTAACACGAATTATATTTGAAATGCATAAACTCAACATTTTCCTGTTCGCCATTTTAGGAAGTTAGTACAAGAAAATGAATAAACTATGAAAAAGTGGAGGCATAACTATAAAAAGTGCGACTGTTAAATTCAACGTCTGAATCAAACTACGCATAAAACTATTTTAGTCGACTAAAACTCAGATTTGATTGGCGCATGTAAAATGCGACGTTTGAACCCGGCCTAAGGTCTGTTTCAAACGTCGTATCTCGCATGAGCCTAATGCAATTAAAACAAAAGATATTGAGGAATTTTATCTCATTTTCTATTGTTTTAAATGCATTCCGCGCGTGTAAAATTTGACGTTTGAAATGGGCCGAAGCTCAGAATACATTACAGAAGCTTTTGTAATAGCCACTCCCAATTGCGTATCTAGGGCACGTAAAAATAAATTGCTACATCGCAGTTTTGAATAAATTCACATTTCTAAGCACCTTAGAGTCAAATAATTCAAACCCATTGTTATAATGTTGTGCTTTCAAAATGCACAACAATAGTATTATTCTAAAGACACTTTGAATTTAAAATTGGCAGCTATAGCTTTTTTCATGAACGCTAAGATCCGGTATAGTGGCCCACCAAGCGAAGAAATATTGGTTTTTAAAAGAAGTGAGTAAAAGTCTCTTTATCAAGATAAAATTTATGAAACAATCACGGCTTTTAAAGGACCGGTAATTTGCAGCAAATTTGATAGTCTGTTAGCCACATATCTAAACAATCTAATAGAAAGAACATTGACTTTGGGATGATAAAGACATAAACTTTATCTTTTTGGTGAAAAATGAAATATTATTATCATTACAGCAAATTACTTGAGTAAATATAACTTATCAAGCATTTGAAGCATTTTGATATCTTAATTATATTGCATAAAAATTGCAAACAAACAAAAAAACATTTATATCTATAGCGTTGGTTCATCATCATATTGTTATTCCATTTGGAACACATTCTGGCAGAAGATAAGTGTAGGGAACTTCCAATGTTTTATTTCGTTTTCAATCTTCTCAGAAATTCTTTTAGGCTATCCTGAAATCGAGAAATCGCACTTCGTACATCTTGCTCGGTCCAGTGAGTGCCACGGTAGTCACCCAGACAATACTGCAAAAAATTCAAAAAACTTAATTTAATAAAATACCACTGAAATAAAATGTTACAATGTTATTGCTTAGCTGAGATAAATAGCTCATATAAAAGCAACAACAAAAAACAACCATCTGCATCCACTCGTCTGGTACATAAAACACGGCAATGAATTGCGTTTAAATTTTCTCATTGTACAAGACTCTCACTTTTTCTATATTTTGGTCAGTAGAAATGATAAAACAAAGTCTTTCTTCATTATAATCAATAACCGAGTGCACTGCCTAAAACAAGTTTTTTGTAATACTTTAAGAAAAATTTCTTAGTACTCAAAGCAATAATTCAATTTGTGTTTTTACAAGAGAAATGCAAAAAAATCGCGAATATTCTTACTCAACGGAAAGAGTGGACTATACAAGCACACGTTCATTTGAAATGAAAACGTCCTTAAGCTTTCCTCAGTAAGCAATGTTGCTAGTATTGGTGTTCATCATACCTCATCTTTTGAAAAGTTTGAAATTACACTGATTGTTGATATTGCTTTAAATGCCTGCTCTTTGTTTGGAAGTGTTAACAAAATGGACAAATTTGATGCCTCTCCTTTTTTTGTGGGTGGTGGCTTGCGCATGATAGCCGGAGCGTTAGGTGTAAATCCATAATGATCCTTCTGACTAAAGTTTACTGCTGCATGTTGACAGGACCAAGTAAATATCAAAATAGTCAAGATTCTTACAAATTGTTCTCGAGATTCTAACTTGGATGGGAGGCCATGGTAGGCAGCTTTCTCCCTCCAGCCATTTTCATAAACGTCAAAGATCCAGTTTTGAACTTCATCATCTTTCTTGACGTCTTCATCACTCCTATAAAAAATGCCAACCATCTCACTGACAAATTTTTGAATGGCTTCCCACAGGGCGAGTCCATCGTCACGATAATAATACTCTTGAAGTTTTGACGGATCATCAACTCCACGTTTCTTCAAAGAATTTGGGAAGTTGTAATCTTCAAAATTCATCTGTTTAATAAATCAATATGAAATAATTTAGCGGCTTTGAGAAATGGCAAAATGATTTACATATTTCCTTTTTTCATAAACGACGCGGTCTCGCATGCAGGGACGTAATGAAGTCTAGGTGCTTTAGAGGAGTCTGGGCGTAAAATTTTCTGATAAATTGGGCGTGGCATGGGCGTTATTTTGGTGTAGTTACTAATATAATACTGAAATTTGTTAAAAATTATCGATAGAGGAACATGAGAGGGGTCCGTTACTCCCTAGACCCTGCTAACTACGACACCCCTGCTCATATAACAAACAAACCTTTTTAAAACATTTCTCCATGAATTCCATATGACCACCACCACCAAGAGATAGGGTTTGGTCGACAACGCCACCTTCACCAAGTAGTTCTTTTCGACGTATTGTATTACATGCCAGCAAATCTTTGATATGTGGTAGAAGTAGCTTAAATATGGGGTGTGGGATGCAAGATTGCGCCATGCCGATACTGCGAACGGTTCTGTGGCCAAGTTAGTGCAGAGTAAATGTGTACAAAGCTGAAAATAGAGGTATACACATACATGAATATTACGCCTTTTTGAAGTCAATACAGGAAAGCACGTCAACATTTGGGTCAAAGACCATTCAATAAAACGTAAATGCGTTGATTTGTGACAATTAGACAATAACTAGAACAAAAAGTTTATTCAATAAAGAAATTTGAATATTCTCAAGCATTCATTAACGTCTTTGGGAGTTCAATGCAAAAAATAAGCGTACAGTAGCGTGGACTTTCTATTCATGCGCACTTATTCATTTCTCATCAGCGCAAAACTGCGATCAATTAAATGAATATATTGTTTATTAGGATTTGTTTGCATGAACGTTCATTCAATAACGTCAATCAGCAGTCATTAAAATGGTTTTTATTATCAATAGGAGTTTAACTATAACATTGACGTCTTTGGTTCGTTCATTAAACACAAATAATTTTTCAATACAACATAACGTAAAATGAAAATCTACGTGAAAATGCTCTCTGTATACAATCCATTATCAATACACCAAGTGCTGAATACCGGTTATACAGAGGTTATATAAGAGAGTGATCACTGCGATGTAGCAGTTGGATCCTGATGAGGAAGTCATTTTCGTATTGGATGGTGAACCAGCACATAACTATTTCACCAATTCAAGGCCCTCATACTGAACTACAAAAACTACCAGCATACAGTCCGTTCGTAAATATAGTGGAGCAAGCTATCAAATCCCTCAGAGAAGCAATACAAGTCAATTTTGCCAGACCTGAAATTTAGCTTTTTGTCAGCAATAGAGTGGGCAGCAAGGAGTCAAGGCTTACAATTATGAGAATTTATGACTCGCCTTCCCTTTTGAAGCACTCCACCGTAATATTAGCACGATAACTGCAGCCACGTGCAGCCAATGGTACCGTTTCATGCAGACATACATACCACGATGCTTAAACGGCGAAAACATTCCCGTCCAAAAGAATTTAGGATCATTTTGCGTTGTGTTGTATGAAAATTATTTGTGTTTAATGAACGAGCCAAAGACGTTAATGTTATTGTTAAAATCTTATTTACTCTAAACCCGTTTTAGCAACTGCTCATCGACTTTATTGAATGAACGTTCTTACATACAAATCTAAGGAGCTGTTTACATGATCCCGATTAGCCGGGATTCAGTGAGGCGTAAAATGGGATTCGAGGGATTGATAGGGGCAAAAATTCAAGGTTAAAAATTGGAGCTGTTTGTTAAATTCCGCAATTCATTCCTGTTGTAATTCTCAAATTAGGCCAAATTGATTGTTTTAATTTTAAATATTTTGCGTAGTTATTAAATCAGAATATTGTGAAATTGCTCGAGAAGATTTATCTGATGATAAGTATCGAATCGTTTCCATTCGCTAAAATCATTTAACGCTTGGCTGGATCCCGGGAAGCGTAGAACTTTTATAGCACTGCTTAAAATATATACAACAATGAGTGCATGACTAGTATCTGCAATGTACAACTGGGATTCTACCGAGCTGTGTGAAATATCATTTCAAAAATTTTGTCGTCTACTTTACTTAATTTTGCAATGTGTTGGCAGGTCCGCTTCAAACTATAGCAAGAATAACCTGGTCGTTTCATGGAAGGAATTTCATATTTGTCACAGGGGTAGTGCCAAAAACTTTAGAGGGCTGAGCTGTTAAGTAAGTGACGTAAGACAATGTAAGGGTCCAGAATTAGGCCGGTCTAATATAAAGAAGTGTATAAAGTTAAAATTATGCTTTGAAAAATTCAGTTCAACTGTACTACTGATTTATTTTTCTAATAATTGAGGAGGAAGTGAGAATTTTTCTTAGAGAGGTGAATAATATAATTAGGGGGGTGAAATTTGATGTTTCAAGTGGTGGGATTGCAACCCCTGCACCTCTATTAAGTCCGTCTCTGTATGGTCGATGTCCAATTCATCTTTGTAAAGATAAATTATGTGGCTGAAAAAAGTTCGTGATTTGCTGTGTAAGCTCGGATAAACTAACCTGGTGAAAATTAGATTCAGCAACACGTAGCCAAAACTTTGCCAACATCCAATCATTTTGGTGTTCTTCGTGTGGTGTCCATATTGGGTTCGCAGGACCTGGCTCTTGATTAATTTGGATTGCTATTGGCATGAGATGTCCTTCTTTATTCACATAAAACAAAGCCAGAGGGGCTGCGCAGTATCTTACATCAGCTTTATCATGTTTAAGATGAAAAGGAGCTTGGTAACCAAAATCATCAAGAACAAGTCCACCATATGTTTTACATCCAACCAAAATTTCATAATCAACAATATAAATATGGCCATCCTACATAAAATAATTCAAAATTTTCAAAGTTATTTATTGGAAATGAAAATTCCTAAAAAGATTGAATTAACATTACAAGACAATATGAACGTCATCTTTCCGAGAGAATTTAAATGATATTATACAAATAAATATGATTATCATTAGAAAACATTTTAGTCTAATTGATTGAGGGCAATTCCTGAGAACAGATGCATCATCACATGTACATCCAAAAAAAATTTCAAAGTTGACGATGTAAATGACGAAACTTCGTTTTGATTGAGATTAAAAACAGTGGTGCTGGCAAGATTTCTTCGGACGGGGGCAAAATCCCCATAATGTCATTATAATTAGATGGCATATATTTTACGCATTGTTTGATATTACTGACATTGTTAAGCAACATATATGAACACCTTAATATGGGAAAAAATATACAATCTTCTTACGTTTATTTCTTTTTCCAAACTTTCTCCTCTGTCAAGGGACGCCTTCACTAAATCATGGGTTACTGGAAAATTTTCAGGAAGAGAGTTACAGCGAGTTATTGAAACTGGATTCACACCGTTTAAGAACTGGTAAGCAAACCAGCGATCTTGTTGCCAACGCTTTGCCATAGTTGGATGTGACGACCAGTGATCATGTAAAATGTGGTAGTCACTATAGCTATCCCAGTTTTCACAGTAGCTCAAGTTCACAGGGGTACCTTTTCCTCGTGCATGGTAGGATCTAGAAAAAATGCAAGTAATATTTACTTCAATATAAATATACCAATTATACTCCTTCATAGTTTAAATCTACGTTACAAGGAGGCTAATGTCATAATACAAGCTATCCTTTTAATGAGTTAAGTATATATTCATGCACCACTGCAAAGATCGACAATTGGAATGTTTTTTTAATGGTCATAAGTACTTCGAAAAGTTTATGCAATGTACTTCGAATATTATGTGTCTCGATATTTTGGATTAATATTTGAACGGTCGACATTAACTTTTTTATGCATTAGATCTATTTTGGCGGTCTTCGCGTTCATTTGGCACATTAAGGGAAATTTTCATATTTGCACGTGATACTTGGAGTTCATAAACATGCGAGCCCCTGTAGATATCTTTGTATCTTTAACTTAATTGTGTTAAAACATGCCGAATTTTGCTTTGTGCTGTTTTTACTTTTGCTGCAAATCAAATATCAAGAGAAGCAAATATTTCTTATTTTGTCGATAGATGCATAACAAAATAATTAAATAAGCATAAAACTTACAAGGACTTGCAACATATAAAGAGAAAACATGCAGACAGCAGACATAAATTATTCATGCAATGCTTTATTCATATAAGATCAGTAATCATGAGCACATTGCAATGTTGAAAGAAGTTTTTAATAACTGTATTTGCAGCAAAGGCTGGAATATCACTAAGACAAAAATGAAAGATTTAGTAACAATTGTTTGGTCAGTATTTACAACCAACCTTAACTTTTCATCAGAAAATCGTGAATTTCTAGGCAGATCATTATAAGTTGCAGCTTTAACACATCCGGGCAAATTATCTCGGATCCAGTACCATTGATATATTTCTTTTCTTTTCTCCAGCTCCTTCCGACGGTGTTCGGCTACTATTGCAGGCATTTCATTGAATGGTAAGGTAGCTTTGAAAAATAATAAGTGTCAGATGTTTCAAGTTATTGGCTGTGAAAAAAGTTTGTAAGACAGTGAGTAAATTATTGGAAGAATGTTTTTAAATAGTTCGAAATACATACAAGTTCAAAATGCCCTTAACCCCCAAAATTTTATGACATCATCCATTCATTACATACTTTTGCGTTTAATACTTGAAATTAAATTGTAATTGAAGCTCAACTAAAACAACGTGTAATATCGCTTAAAAGCAAGTATATCTTGCTAATACGAGTTCAGGTAGCAACACCTACTACCAATTATTTAATTCTCAGATTGATCATTTCATTGTGGTAAAAACTAATTATTTACGCACTGATCATATATAGATAGATCTCAATCCATGTTAAAGCGTCGTAAAGGCATATGGCTAAGGCGCGAAAATCAAACTTTGCTAACAAAAAATAGCTCACTTTTGGCCTGATCTTTCGATATTAAATAACGCTGTCATGGTCATTAAACAAAAAAATTTTGCTTCACTTTGGGTTAACAGCAGTCTTTTTGCGTTTTTTGATCAAATTTGAGTTGGGTAATTTCTCACAATCTTCGTAAACATATTTTTTAAGAGTTGCATATTCAAAAAATGCATTGAACAAGGATACTTTATAACCTATACCCTCTCTTTGCAATAACCCTGGTGATCATCGTTTATGACATTGATTTAATGTACCTTCTTCACGGAACAATACGAGATGATCGTAAATCCATTGATATGGGAAACTAGTGAAACAATTCTGACTTGAGTTGATGGTTATCTTTATCTGAAGGTAGAATTTTCCTTTTCACTCACCAATATTTTTACAAGAAACGTCAAATAAAAAGTGTTAAATTGAATTGTGTTACCTTGTCAACAAACCAATCTGGATTACGATGTACAAATTTCCAACCAACATTAGCAGACAGCTCCACGCAATAGATCTCACCCACGTCAAATGCTGTTATTCGATAAGTATCATTTTGTCCTCGTTCAAAATCATTGTGCAAACGTTTATTCAACCTTATGTAGTTTGTTCGACCTTTCGAACCTAAAAAAATTATGATCTTTTATTGGACAGCATCCAAAGTAAACTGTTGCAGTATATGCCCTACCTAGTTTTGATACATACACTAATGGAAATTTTGAAATTTGTGGTAAAATCCTTTCTTCGTGATGGCTGGTATTTTATTAAGGCTATTGATATTCGTATAGCTATTAGGCTTCTCTAGTTTTTACAAGATACTTGTAAAGAGGGAATATTGTAACAAGTTTTTCTTCACCTGAAAATCTGATGGATATTGTGGAATCAGTACCAGCATTTTCTCTGTCACCGGTTTTAATATCAATCGTGTAAACAGCATTTCTATTCGAATGAATCCCAGTGTCAAGATTCTCGCTATGATGTTTGCCATTGTTGGAAAAAATCGTTAATTTTCTGTACTCTTCAGGTAATTGATCTTTTAATAAGCCCAGTGATCGTGGTTGCTTCAAGGGATTGAATGATGTTCTAATAAATGGAACCATTTAGTTGTGTTTGTGGATGAAGAATTTGGTCTTATTTGTTTTGCATTTCAAAAAACTAAACAAAAACAGCTATGCGTCATGACTTTTGGAATCAAGTCAGTTGTGGATCTTGGGTAGATCAAATTAAATTATAGAAGTTTTTTTAAATTTGGAAGACTTTTTTTAAACAACATGCACTGTTTGTTAGAAAATCATAAAGAATATTTAAGACTAAAATATTCCTAACAGGATTTGCTCTAAAACATTTTAAAATGAAAATATATTTTCCGTTATTTCTTTCTGACATAACTGCCCTGGATCCGCCACTGCAAAGCTATTAACAGACTAAAAAAACTGTTTATGATTTGTGCTAAGTAAGAGGCCTAAACTTGGGAAATGAAAGTAGAACTCCTCCAATCGAGTAAATAAATGATCTCGTGAATAGATGAAAATACAAATTTCTGTAGAGCTAAAGATTGAAAAACATTCTCTGGGATCAATTAATAGAAGCTTCACGCCTTTGGCGTTCAATACTTTCTCCTTCTAAAACTTCGGGTATATGAATACACGCTCCCTAATATCGAATAAAAAACATGCAAAATATCAAAATGAATCATAAAATGAGATTGAGAGAGTACATATTGATGATAAGGTAGTCAAAGAAACAATTTACAAACAGTAGATCAAACAAATGTACAATATATGAAAATAACTGACCGCTGTAGAGCTTCTCTTGATAAAGGAGTCTTAACAGTGACAGTAGCTAAATCAAGCCAAGGATGAACATCCTTATTCCAGAAAATCCCCGAATTAAATATGTACGATGTATCTTCAGAAGATTTATCGTGAATTTGAATTTGCAAGCGATAATTAATGGGCTTGTTGTTGAGACGCTCGAGGTATTCTTTGCAAAGGTAATCTTCTGGTCGAGGTTCTTGTACGTCACGTGAAAGTATCCTTGTAGTGATAAAATAAGGGTAATATTGAATTTTTTTGCAACGTTAAATGATATTTTTATGTATAAGTGCAACATCTATAAAGTGGGCTTGAAAAAAGCCTACGACAGATGATTGTAAGTAAACATAATATATCTTGGGTTCATTCAAGCTATATGAATCTGTACCATGGTGATTTTTGCTCTTCGTTAGACAATGTCCCATTTTTCCATTGCTTTTCTTTGTGCATATCACCAGGTATGGCTCGATATCTGCAGTAGCGAACTTTACCATCATTAGCTTTGAAAAGCATCGTACTTTGTGCATAATAGCTCAATTCAGCATATGAATCAGGTGCCTTACGTAAGCTTTCCAGCAAATTTTTGAAGCTATCAACATATCATACACAAAAGACAAAATTCATCAATTTAATTCTTCAAACAAATTGCCTTATAATTCAGCTTAACTCTGATTATTGTATTGTAATGCACTTACTAATATGGATTTTTGTAAACATATTCTTTGCCTGTGATATCTCCTCTTGTAACTTTAATGAAGTCATTAAAACTACTGGTGTTCCAAAAAATGCTAGCTTGGCCTGTACTCATGAGAATATCTAGTAGACCTTCGTCATCGTATTCTGAGAATTTGATTGAAAGTAATCTAATTGCAGAGCCAGCATCATCTTTTTGCAGCAGATTTGAATGCTGTAGCCTTGCTTTAAACTTGCGACCTTTCGAAAAATTAGATAAACATAAGCTCTTCCATGTATTAAAACATTTCGCTTCTTTTTTTTTCATCGAATGTTATTTGTGTTTATGTCTATAAATCTTTATGGTAACTCATCCCATCTCAGAGTTCTGTTTTTGTTTACTGTGGAAAATTAAAATATAGAATTTTATCCACTTTAGTTAAAAACAACATCTCAAGTGTTGGCAGCACTTCCGACTTAGACACAATTTTTGTCATTCAGTACCATGTCAAATAACTTACCTCGCCGGGTGCTTGTATGCCTTTATACACAAAATTTATTTTTGAAAAGCTCCATTATTTATAAAAAAATAAATTGGTGCAGTTATATAATTAGAGAGTGCATACATCAATAACATTTCTACACTCACCAGCACTAAAAAATTCATGATCAGGAAACTTCGGATCATCAACAATCTTTATTTCACCCAGTCCTCCTGTTCCCACGGGACCAATAGAAGGGGGAAATCCATTCATGAATGTTGAAAGCGCAAATAAACTTTCTTGCTCTGGACTTTCCGAGGATTTCTTATTCGAGAAATGGAGAAAAAAAGTTAGCTAGTTGTACAAAATATCATAACTGCTCAGCTTTCTTACTTTGTTCTGAAATGTATGTTTATAATTGGTCATTTTTGAACAATCTTTCATGTAATAAAGTTTGTAATAAATAATTGTGTTATTACTTGACCCTGTTTTATTGTAAATGCAGCTGAATCGTTGGTTTATAAGGGAATTAACATAAAATGATTTCTAAATACAATCATTAATCTATCCTATTCTTGGGTTGCAAGCTACGTCATAGTCGCCATGTTGGATGATTTTAACAAAGGATTTTCCTTATTTACAATGAAAATTTCATCAAGCATGGCGAGCATTCACTCATACTCTCAAGGGGATAGTTGCAACCTTATAGCTTGTCGCTGTACTCTCACTGTCAAATTAACTGCGAATCTGGAACTTTTCTCATTTTTACCACAGAATAATGATTATACCGAATGGTCACTCAGGTGAGCCAGATAATTAGGATATCTCACTTGTTTCCAACCATTAAAATTACATGACGTCAATACTTAATAATGAATTAAAGTATATTTTGACTTAAGAAATGACTTCGGAACATTCTAAATGTTTGGAAAAAGTCAAAAACCCTAATCACCTGGCTGGAATAATGGCGGCAACCATGCGTGGGACGACATACGCAAGAACAAAAACATCAAAGGTTCCGAGAAGAGTGACTCTTCTGTATATTCTTATTCGGTATTATTACTTTTTATCTATTCATATGGAAATTAGCTATTTATCATGTGCAATTGTCGTGCATAATTCTCGAAGTTCTATGGTGTACAAAAATGTTCTAAACTTGATTCTTTTTGGTTCTTACCCTCCAAAGACATGTTCAATGCACATTAAGCATTCATCGAGTGTGCACTATAATAATACGCTTCATTGATGTAAGTTTAAGTACTAAATGCAACACAATGGCAAATGGCTAGGGAGTACTTTGACAAGTTTTGGACGAACAGGGACTAAATATCAATAATTCTTCAAGAACAAAAATCTATTATAATAGTTGTTCATAAAAAGTTACTGTAAATGGTAAAGTAGAAAAAACTTTCACACATAATTACTCCAATTTGTGAAAAAGTAAATGTCTCTCATGCTACGTAAAAATGATACATTACAAGACTCTGAACATGATCAACACCATTCAAAATTTATCATTTTAGAAAAGCATGAAAAAGAACAAAGCAACCATCAAAAGTGATACAGTAAAATATACGTTCTGTTTTCGATGAAGCATATTTGATGTAAACTGTACTGTAAAAGTCTTTTCTAAATTACATTTAAAGCAATGTACTGTGGAATATTTTCAGCCTTCGATCGCTTTGCAATTTAGAACAATTACTAACACACAAATTAGCAGCTGGGTCACAATATAAACCAGTGGCGTGCGGTCATGCAAGCGTAGGCAAGCGCCGCTAGCCTAAGCATTTTACCGAACAAAAATTTTTTGGATCAATCTCTGAGCAAAATCAGTTTAAATTTTTCTGTTCTAAACAATGTCAATGTAATCTTTTGTCTAAATTGTCTTTACAGTTGAAATGCTTGCTATTTATACGCGATTTACTGTCGTGGTTTTCGGTTTCACTTTGCTACACTTGTAAGATGAGTCAAGTGGATTAAATACACCTTAAAAATTTCTTATTTATTAACCAAGGCAAGCGCGCTTGCCTTCGAGCTCAATTTGAACATTTGCGCATGCGTTAATCTAGATTTGGAGGCTTCTTATTCGAGGAATATCGAGAAAGGCAAGCGGCGCTTCTAAGGGCGCCGCTTGATAGCGATTGGTCAACAGTCTTGTACGCTCGCAATTTTAAACACATATCAGCGCGCGAATAATATTCGTATATTCAACACTTTGGACATCCGAATTATTCACGCCGTTAATGTTATCGTTTATTAAAAGATGACTGAGAGCGAAAGGTAATGTTCTGATTTCTAATTCAAAGTAGTAGGTGCTTTACTGGTTATTTTATTATTTTCTGCGCACAATGTGCGTAAACAAGCAGGGGCCGCAGTCTGCAGAGATATCGAAATGCACGCAAACGTGTGTTGTGGTAAAGTATGACTAGCATTATGACCAAAACACTATGCTCTTGTCAGTCTTGTGTCGTTGAATTCGTAAATTAATGACTAAAAATAAAAGGTACAAGATACTAAATAATAAACACGACTCTCCGATATTCTGAAACGTACGAGTCAGTGCCAGACACATTTTGAAGAACGGGAGAACACGTTGCCATGACGTCATTATACCAAAATATAAACATTAAACAACGCCATGGCCTCAGTTTGTAACACACCGTGCCAATTTTGTGCGCGAAACTGGCTGTTCTTAATTGTTATAATCACGACTGCTACAATACATTTCGCGCCTATTGTCTTGCAATTTATGTATGTAGAAGATATTATCTGTAGCATGTAATACAAGATTATGATATTGACAAGAGCTTCCTTTTGCGTAGTAGTTTTGATATTTGTGTCCGGTAGATTTTAGCGTTATATACAAGTCTTTCGTATGAGCTCCAAACGTGAGTTCAATGTACTAGAACGCTATTAAATTTTGTGATTATTTTATTCACTAGCGAAGAAGTTATTTACAACAGTCGTGAGTGTTCTATGTGTTAGAATTTATTTACAGGCTTTTTATATATTTGGTTAAAGAAGGTGCAGTTATTACACAGCGGATAATGTACTTGAAATTTGAGTAGTTTTACGTAATTATAAAGTTAAGTGCGTAAGTTTAAAGGACATTGGCAACGAAAATTTTTTTTGCATACGTTTATCATAGATAGCTATGGAATACTTAATTTCAGTTTTTCGTGGCTCTTTTGAATTTTACTGTTGAGAAAATTTGACATAAAGTTGAATCCTTATCCGCCATTTTGAAAAAAAAGCCTTATGCTAAATTATGCCGGAATACATTACTGACGTCATTGGCTGGTATCAACTGAATGACACAATATAAAATAATAGTATTATAATAATATATAGCACATTTGTTCACTGGAATTTTAAAACAAAAACAACAGTCGGCGGTTGTTAAGATTAACGAAAGTTGTGTAGTTTATCACGCTTATATACTTTTCCAATATTTAGTCGTTATAAGACGTAGAAACGTTTATTTTAGCAGATCTTACAACTAGGTTTTGCCGATATACCAAGTGTAAGCCCAGACAACAACAAGCGCGTTTTATACACTGAACATTTCGTGCAATAGAAATATTTCATTTTCCCATATTACAAACCTGTGACCAACAAATGAGTTATACGTTTAATTTATTATTTGTACACATAAGAGTCTTTGAAAGATTATGTAGTTTTATATAGGTGATAAGCTCTAAGCCGCTATGTTTTGTTCTTGACCGTAGAGTTTCGTTTATCCGTAATGTTTTACGTGCGTGTTTGCGTGCACAATGTACAAGTACCGACACACGTCTATCTTTAACACACTTTCTGAGAGCATATTGTCCCTAAATTCTTGGTGTGTTGTCAAGCAATTTACTCCTTGAGTTTCTGTTTGGCCTAGCAAAGCCTCATACTCATCGTATTCAAGCGCTTTTTCGTGGCAACAAAAACACTCGATTGCCTTTTTTGACAAAGTACAATGTCCACACTTAAACCAGTTTGAAGGCGCTAAGCATTTGCTTTCTCAAATTCGGCATGTCTTTCATCCTCCGACGAGGACAAGTCGCTCTGCTCACTCTCCTGTTCGGAACCGCTTTCTTCACTAGTTTCGGCCTTCACTTCAGGTTCATATTGATAGGGCAGAACCTCACCCGGTTGATTTTCGTGTATGTCATCCATTACAGCAAAAAAACCCGTAAAATACGCTTTAAATGTGTTGTAACGCAGTCAATCACAAAGTATATTGTATTGTTGTTTTGACTGCCGGCAAGCCGCGAACCTCACCCCCAGCGCTTGCCTATTAAATTCGGTCACCGCACGCCACTGATATAAACGCACCAGTTTATTGGTGGGAAAAATGCACGTAGGAATCCTACCTAGGTAACTTAGTCTATAAATTTTATTTGATTTACATGATTATTGAAATTAAGCAGATCTGTGTATTGTGTATTGTGTACTGTTAGCATTATGTCAATTGATAATTGATAAGACGCAGCTATTGCCTTACCGTGTGCTCGAAATTTATTCTTTCACTGAGCTCTTTTTCGCCAAATCTATCAGCAAATAATTGGAAACCATTGTTCATCCCTGAAATTAAAAGTGACTGGTCTTTCAGGAAGAGAGAGAGAGAGAGAGAGAGAGACGGTTCTACTTAATATTTAGAATTAAATAGTGGAATGTTTTAAATCAAAACATACAAGCCATTTTATTTATGAGCCAAAATCTTACGATGGGATGTCAACAAAGCCAAGTGATATAAACCACAAAAATCTTGCAGAGTCACAATTATACACTATATTAAATAAAAAAATAAAAGATTTTATTTAAATGCGACTTGATATTTAGATCTTTGTGTTCAACTCTGAAAGACAATAGTCTTGCCAAAGTTTGTTGTTTCTTTCCTTCGTATTAGTGAAACCAAAATACTCTCTTCTATAGAACACAAAGCAGACTAAAAAAGCCTATGCTATCTTTTAACCGAGATGATCTATGGCGGCTGGTTTTGGTACCAGAAAATTATGTCAACTGTTAAATGAGTTGAATTGACGGAATCCTGATCCAGTTCTTGCACATATTTTAATCGGCCTTCACGAATGTAAAATAAAATGTTTGATTTCAGGATCGTAATGCGGTGTTTGATTTCTGTCCCACTGCATGATGCGTCCCAAAATAAGCCCCTTTGTTGGTAGTTGTATTAAGTAATACCAAATATCGAGTTTTCCAATCGTAGCATATTTGACCAGAAGTTAAAGTCTCGTATACCGTATAAGTTAAATGTCATAAAAATATACATATATTGTGAGAGTTCGTTTGATATTAGTAGAAAAAATTCATGGCATTCCACGTGATGGAAGTTCATCTGCTCGTTCAGTTTTTATCAGTTTTTAAGCCAGTCTAGGCTATAGAAGTTGCAGCAAAACAAATAGCTAAACGACAGGTTCTACTTTTATGAACAAGTAAGAACTTAATGTCTACAGATTTGAGTAGTTATGTTAATCACGCAAACTTACCCTTCTTTCTGTAGAAACTACAGCGTAACTGTGTATAAAGCTGACATCAAGTTTAATCAAGAGATAAAAGCGTAGTAAAGATATGATTGATACAGTTGGTCGGTAATGGTAATGACTCACTACATAATGTCAGAAGAATGATGACATAGACTTTTATACGCACGGGATATCAGCGCTGACAACGTAAATTGTAGGAGTGTTGACGCAAACAACTAACAGGAATTGCGTTTCCATGTTTGCATGCACATTATTAAAACAGAAAAAACAAATTGTACCAAAACACGAAATTCGCTATAAATCAGATGAAGCTAATAGTAATGAATAGCAGAAAAATATGAAATTCTATAGGAAGGAAATCTTGGACATAAAATTATGTCGGCATTCTGTGTTAATCTCCAGAGTTGTAGAATCATTTTCAATGTTGGACTTTTCAGGTGCTGAACTCAATGACAGATAGAAATTGGAGATAATGAACTAAAATGTAAATCCCCTGCATCTTTTAATTATTCTCTGGTGCATGAAAATGCTCGATCACTTCGATGTTTGAACTGGGCGTTAGAAAATAGTAACGTTCGCCCACATTGCAGCCATTGCGTAGAGTTCATTAAACGTCTTTGTATATGACCATCAAGATTGTCAACATAAGCAAAAGAAGAATATGACGACAATACCATCAATGACATAAATAAAATCTTTTCTGGAACAACCAACCAATCACAGGGAGAAAAGTTAGTAAAGGTTAGGGCATGATCACGTGTGTTCTAAGGGATTTAGAGTTCCAAGCATTAGATAGAATTTATATCTTAAATGCGAGGGACTCTAAATTCCATAGAACAGAAGTGATCATGCTGCAACCGTCTTAGAACATGGCCAAAGCCACGAGGGTGTTTATTAATCTCATTAGTATTTTCTATTTAGGGAATACTAATAAGGATTCTCTATAAAGAGAATACTAATGACATTTAAAGAATACTAATAAACTATTGTTCTCCATTGTTTTCACTCCATCTATGCATTTTAGGGGCTGTTCACACGAGCCCAGGTAATTGGGATTCAGCGAGGCGTGAAATGATTTTAAGTCATTGAAAGGAGTAAAAATATTAAGCGCTAAACTTACAACCTTTTCTTAAGCGTCATAAGTCATTTTAGTTATAATTTTCAAATCAGAATAAATTATTTGTTATCATTTTTAAAGGTTTCGTGAATTTGCAAAGTCAGAGCATAGAAAAATTTCTCAAATAAGTTTTTGTTGTGAAGTATTTAATCTTTTCCATTTGTCATAAATATTTAACGCTTCGCTGAATCCCGGCTACCCCGGCTCATGTGAAAAGCACCAATTTGAGCTTTATAGCAAACAGCACTTCATGAATTTTAGGCACTATGAGATTTAGACCATCAAAATACAGGATGCTGATTGGCCTAATGGCTTTGGCCATGCTCTAATGTTCTAATTATCTCTCTTTGATTTTACGTCAATTTCCCGTTTTGATATTCATCAATGACATGCATAAAATCTATACAAAAACAATGAAAGAATCGTGGTAAGAAAAATTACAATCTAGGAGCAAAAAAGTTGAATATTGAAGTTTTGTGAAATTCTGTCCTTCCATTAGCGTTGCGTCAATATCAGCTGTTGTAATATCCTATTGATCATTAAACCAAAATTTTCTATTTTGTTAGATGAATTAGACATAATTTATGATTTATAAAAGATCGCAGTTTGTTAAAAATTTGATATGCGTCATGGTAGAATTTTCAAGAGAATAGGACTACTTTGCTTCTATGTCAATTTTTGTACTGTGACGTACATAGATAAATGATATGAATTCTTGTTATGTGAAGATTACTTCTGAGGTAATTGTTTTTGTAAAATGACGTTTTGCATCGAACAGATATTTGTGACTTTGTCTAAAGTAAAAAAAAAACAAAAAATACAAAAGGTGTGTTCAAAAATAATCAAGGAACAGCGAAATTGCCCATTAACCTGCAGGTTATGCTCATAAACGTCATTTGGTCTCTATGACATCATAAACCACTTAAGTAACAACACAGTATAAGAAACAGTAGAACCATTCTATATTTAACTTTTTGTGTGACGTATATCTTAATATGGTTCAGTGGCTTGATAAAGGGAGGGGTAGGTAGGGAGTATGTCCCCGCAGCAGTTGATATTTTTGTGGAACACAAATGAATATGAGGCGGTGTCTTATTGTGAATGCGGGTTAAAAAACCCATTTCAAATGAAATGGTATCATTTTATCTGCCAAAGTGAAGGAAATGGCACTATAGAGCTTCTTAATTTAAAAATGGGGAACATGTCCCCGCACTCCCTTATCACGTGCCAAAACTATAGTGCTCGGCTCAGTTCTTTGGCCGTCGTATCTAAAACGTTATAACTAGGGGCACTTTATTTGGTACTGTTTGCCTCCCCCTCTCGTATGAAGAATTCTTCACAGCACGCCACTTTTAAAGATGATGGTATTGTGCTATGGTTATAAACCATATGTACGCCATATGGTTATATGGCTACAACATGTACTGTGCTTCTACTGTTCACTGTCTAACCTTTATACTGTAGATATACAATGATCACGAACTTTTTCAATTACAACTGTATGAAAATCCATCCTTTTTCGAATTATAGTAGCTATTTTTTCAGCTACGTTAAGCTACATTACAATTCATCTTAAACAACAGTACAGATTCAAGGTTTGGTTAAAAAAATGAAAGCCGTTAATTTCAAGTAATAAAAATAAAAAATTCAAAAGAAATTTTTGAAGTATGAAATATCGATGGGCTTTGTAATTTACTTTGCTCATAATTCATAAGGCAGGTCTGCTTCACAACAGAATCAGTAGACGATTAATAATTGATGGCTCTCATTACATTCATTATGTTATATAATCAGTAACTAATTACACTTCGTTATACATGGTGTCCCAAAAAAATTTCCCCCTCAGGGGTTTGAGAAGCTGTGAGTGTCTGGGTGTCCAAACACCCACAACTTTTGTAGTGTGTGTTTACCTTATAGTAAGGAAACCCACAAATTTAGTTTCTTTTTTGAACGTTTAAAATACATTTGTATACAAAATTATTAAATTATTGAACAGGTACCATGCAGGAACCAGGAAATTTTTAATGATTTAAACATTGGCCAAATGTGCAAGTCATTTGTATGCAATAAAACACCACAAAGGGATTTTGGAGGATATTTGAAATGTCTGCTCCAAGAAGAAGAAAAACTGACTGAAATGACTAATATGAAACAATTTCTTTACTATTTTCTTGGGTTATGGCATGACGTATATGAAACACCCACAACTCTTGAAAGCTTTCAAAGTCTCTGGTCCCTCTACAAATCATTCTTGTACCTATGGGAATTGAATTGAGCAGTACATAAACGGTAAAAGTAATCAATTCGTCAAAGTAATGATGAAAGTAAGCAAAACATCAGTTTAAAACATCAGTCATGTATTGAATATAAAGTCGAAAAATCATCAATAGGTTGCATTCTAAAAATACAATGGCACGATAAGAATATTTCAAACGGAAAACTTTCCATGTGCATGAAATGTATCCATAAATTTAGCATTATCTCTGGCACAAGGCGGCAGAATAAGAACTTGATTTAAGCGTCAAACTTAGCTGGAAAAGAATTTTTTAATTTCTCCACAGAAGATTTCGCTCTTTGCACTTATGTAGAGCTCCTTCAAAGGCAGTGCGCTAATTTCATGAACTAAAATTCATACAGATGTCACACATAATTTTTGCGCCATTTAATATTGTTTTTGAGTGCCAAAAGACGCAAGAGAATGCTCTATTCTATTTTTTAAGAATCAAGTGTTGATTAATTTCCTAGTTTTCAGAGTCATTGGAAAGATGGGTATTGTACGTTACTCGTTTCATCTCTGTAACTTGATTTAATTTAGTAAATGGAGAGCTCGCCGTTTGAATTGACCACACACGTTGTGCCAACAATGTGATAAGTTCGACTTATTTGACCATAAGCTGCGTCAAACTTAATTTAATGATTAAGTTCGCTGTTTGAACTACAGTAGGCCTAGATCGTAAACTTATAATACATAGTAAATATCAGTTCAAAATAGAAGCTAATCAAACCTTTTAGCATTTTCCCCATTAACAGTTCTCATAAAATTGTACAAGATCGTTTTGTGTGAAGACGTTTTTTCTCCAGTTCATTGTAGTCATGTTCTAGTTGCTTATAGTCATTGTTGTTAGGATTCTCAGCTTGACCTTTTTTGACCAGTTTCTCAATTCGTTTTAGCTCCTTCTCATACTCATGAAACATGTTTCTTGTTTTCTATGAAACAGGTATAGCAATGAAAATTATGCAAACGTCGTAAAAGACAGGAGAATGATTGAATGACGACATACATTATGAATATTTGGGAATCAAACAATAAAAACACTTTTATAACGTAAATGATAGATTGGCTATTTCATTGAACATTTTTGTCTTTCATCATTTTTCACAAAATTTTGCACACGTAACACGAAGAAACTTTTGCGTTTTATAATTATCTTTAGTGATCAGTTGAACAAAAAGATGAAACTAAATGTTAGCTACTCAAGATACACTAGACTCATTTAAAAACGATTTCATTTATTCAATCCCTTCATTTTAAAATTAAAAGATGTGTACTGTCTTTGCATAGGCTTATGCAAACTGGGGAGACCTTTGGGAGAACTCAAGAAGTGATCAGTGCAATAAACTGCTTAATTGCATTAGAGCAAGTATACTTGAATTTTCCAGCTGCAGTTACAGTAATGGTTCCTGATGAAATGAAGAATTATTTATTAAAAATATAAAGATAGAGCGATAATAAAGCTTTTATTTCCTTCTTCCATTCCCTCCTCCTAATCTTAAATTCAAGTCCAAGTTTTAAACATTCGACAGCCGAAGTTCGAGAATCACAGATTTGGTTGGTCGAAATTGTTCCTCATGAACCATTTGTTATAATTTGACAGCGGATTGAATTGGCAGATTATTGTGTTTTCCCTACTTTGAAATAGGCGAAACGTGGAGAAAAACGAGAGCAAGTTCTTAGTTTGCAACCTCAGCGTTCATTTTCATAGGTTACTTTATATTCTAATAATATACATGAAAAAATTTCTCAATTCTGATTGGTTAAGAGCAGTGCAAGTTATCGTAAATACCAGTGCAAAAATGTGAAACACAGTGCAATTTCTTTTTGGAAAATGCGCTCCTGATTGGTTAGTCAAACAAAGAAATGATGTAAGAGCCAATGAAATTAAAACATTTCAAAAGCTGGAAAGTTAAATTATTGTAAACAAGCAATTACAACGGCTGGCGTAAGTTTTAAGTAAATTTTCTTTAGCGAAGCAGTTTACAGTTCACCGTTTGCAAGATGTTTTGGATGAAAATAACAACACTGCTCAAAGTAGATACTTTGCTCAAGCTGCGTGTGCGGAAGCTATGGTGTTGTGAAAAGTAATATCCGACGGAATTCAAAAATACGTCAATTTTGATAGTCTTTGAAAAACTTACTCGTGCATGTTTTTCCCAAATTGCATTCGAAACCATGCTATTACCTATACAAACGCATCAAACCAGATAAAAAAATTCAGCTAGCTCTTTCATCAGTACAGAACGTTTATCTAAGACAAACATTTATTTCGATGGTTGAATCACTCGTCGCAACAACATACGTCAAGTCACATTGGAATTATATATTTCAAAAGTAAATATTTGTAATCATAACCTAAATTTGAGTAAATTTCTATTCGCGTTTTTTTCTGCAAGTTTGATGACAATATACCAAAGTGCTCAAGAGCGATTCGACTATTTGGTGAAAGTAAAATATAATACAATTTTCATCCAGTAACATTTTGAATTCCTCGAAATTTATTTCCCAACAAAGTATTTAAGAGCAGATCCACGATTTCAGTCGGGGAGGGTGTGTGATTTGGAAATGTTGAAATACAATAAGCTATTAAATCCATCAATCTGTAGCCTGAAGGCTGCATCCTCTAACCCCCTCCTTTACTGGCTCCGCCAATGTGGTATAAACTGTTTTTTCAATAGGCAGACTGGCGATTTAGTTCAGTATTAGTGAAAGGTGATAATGTATAAAAACGATCAGAAAATGCTTACCGCGGAATCCCAGTTGTTATCTTTAGCGTCATTTTCTATATTTTCGAACTTTTTTTCAAGACACATCATGTTATAGCGTATCACATCTAACGATTCTTTACTTTCAAAGTACAGGAAAAATTCCTCCACAATTTCTGTGACAATCGTAATTTCTTCATTGACGAAGCTTTCAACAGAATCTTTTAAGAGAAAAAGATGGCAACAAATGAGGCAAACAGCATCAACAAACGAATTCGCATTCTATTTAAATAATTTACTTACAAGAGTCTAGAGAATATTGCTCGTCCTTAAACTGTTTTGTTAACGCGTTGGAGCTTTCCTTAATGAACAGCAGAGGATTTGCACTCCCAACCATGGCTAATAAAACTGTAACAAAAAGAGACATATACGTCAAATACCGAGAATGTTTAATGCAATACTCGGAAATCTCTGAAGGGCTGAAGAGGCTCATATTCAAATAAGGATGATATTCTGTAAGTTTCTTTCGAAATCAATTGTTTTTTACTTTTTTACTGACTATCATAAGAATGTGTCAATATGAAAATTATCGACCTTCGGAGGTCTTGCAACTGTTACAGTATAGGAAACAGACAGTAGGGCCACTCAAATGAATTTTTAGTGCCACGCATATCTCATTTTGCACGTGATCAACATAACGGCAGCCAGTCAATTGAATTTTCTGACCAATATAAGAACGCTGAGATGGTCAACCGCAGGCAGTAATCTAGTAAGATATACAGATGCCTACGTAGTAAAGTGGACATACTGTTTATTCTTTACACAGTAATATTGCAATATTGACTTCAAATTTTACACCAAGTATATTAGCGAATATTGATGTGTTCCAAAATTGTGCATGGCATTGCAACACATCAACTGACTTGGTTTGTTTTAACGGTCGTGGTCACAAGAATATTCTTTAACTCCAAAATAATTATTACTTTTTGACTGCATAAGACGAAGGAGAACAGTGTGTTTTGTTTACCCGAGACCCCGTTGTTTCCCGAGTTGAACAATACCTGTCGGTATAGCCATCTAGGGTCAACAAAACATATTGTTTCCCGAAGTTAAGTCCTACAATGCAAATTTTTCAGCAAAATTAGTATCCACTTTTTTAGAAAATTAATTCCATTTATTGTTTTTCCAATAATTTGCATTGCATTGCACATTAGTGAAAAACGGCTGGCTTTAACACTGTTCCCGAGATTTCAGTCAACGTGTGTTTTATCATGCACCAATTTTCAAAAAGAAAACTGACAATGTAAATATTGACTTTCCCAAAAGAATATATGAGCAAAAAACATAAAAATATTTTTGTAAAGACGCTGACCGAGGTCGGTCATATTTTTGACTCACACGTGACCCGCTCTCGACTAATGAAACAGTAGGAAAAATAAACTTTCAAAAATGGTAATATGAAAAAAACATTTGTTAAAGTTGTCCCAAACAATGCAATGGTGAATCTAACGTAAGTCAACAGATGAGTTTTTACAATTCTACATAAACTGCTAGTTTTTGGAGTGGTAAAAATACACTTTCTCAAAATTTCACAATCAGGCAACATTGTTTTGAATTTGCATATTTTGTACTTCCATGTTACTAGCAATAGCTCCTTCTTGACATAATGTGTCCAGGAAAATTAATCTTCAAGGAGATAAATTGTGGAAGGTAATTACAAATAATTTAACACGTGAAAAAAGCAGCTCTCAGGATCCTACTTAAGTTTTTCTTTAAAAATGTACTAAGAATTTTTTAGGATCTTGCTTACAATTTCAACCAGAGTTGGCTCAATTTACTATTACAATTACTACTTAAAAGCAGTATAACTTGTGTCAACTAAATAATTGGTTTTTAACTCTTTAAACTTAAAATTAACTCTAAATGAGTGGAAAAAATTATTTAAATAGACCACATTAGGCTTTAACATAACTAAACAATCAAACATCAATACTTATAATCTTCCATAGAAACCAACCAATCAATACTTAAAATTGTTAAATTTGACAATGCCCCCACCCTCCCACTGTACATACACACTTGTGAGAAATATTACTAAAGTGGCCTGGTTTAAGATGAACCCCCTAGCATTTTAATCAAACCCAATTATTCAAACTGCAAAATAATTTACTAACTACTTAGACAAATATAAACATATAGGATGGAAATTAAATTTCAATGAAGACAAATGTATAATTTGAGATGTGGGGGAGACAAATGTGTGTATTTAAGATGTACATAATAGTGAAGTATATATTGTAAGTCAAAATTTCTTATAAAAGTTTAGTTATACAATTTGAAATTGCCTATCTTGATAAAAAAGTATTGGCTACAAATTTGTCTAGAACATAATTTTACTGATGTACAATATGAAACATACTCTGAATAAAACGTTCTTGTTTAACTTAATAATTGAGAACAAGGCAATTTTTTATCTTACCAGTAATATGATTTCAAATTTATTGCAAATTCATCAGACCTATATGCAGTTGTTTCATACTATACTACATAAAATTGTTGGCTTTTAATGGATTTTGGTTTAATTCTATTGCTTCATTTGCCTCTGAGGTATATAGAATGGTAATGTATGTCGGTAAAAAATCCATACAAAATTGAGTTGCAATAATTTAGTGTGACGTAAATTACATACAACACTTGTGTGGGTGATCATAGCTAAACCCTGACAACTGAGCTTACCACCAGGCTTCACCATATTATTTTAAGTAGGTTAGCTGCTAAACAACAAACATGTACCACCACACTTGTGAAAAAATTCCATCAATACAAGTCTCATCATACCATTTTACTCAGGTTTATCTCTAGCTCTATAGCTACTCTATTTGTACTTCAAACTATTTGCAATTCAAAATCACATTGAAATAAGACATTTTGTCCCTTTTCATATGCAAGCAATACCAATATATTGTAGTTAAGATTCTTGAAGCATTTCTTAAATTATAATTGACTTTGGACGCTAAGTCATGGACAGTTGAGAACTTTGTATCAACAGAAGGTCGTACGAATCTGATCAGTGGGAAGAAATAGCTTTGTGTCAATGTTCCTGATGCCAGAATCCTTATTCATACTGATTAATAAAACATCTTGTCGCCGGTGGCAGGCAAAATTAGCAATGTCTATCGTGTACCGTTTGTACAGAAGACAAGATGTTACATCTCATTCATTCTTTATCGCTCTTAGCTCTGTTCGTTGACGCGCTCTTTACACACATTTTTATTAAAGAAGATCATTTCAACACCAACTTACCCCGAAAAGACAACGTAACGACCACTAAACTTCTCTTCTGACAAAAATAACATGAACGTGAAGCGAAATTGATTGTTATTCATGACATGCCACAGTTCATTGCAATTTTGTCATGTCGACCGGATGTTTTAATTTTTGAGTCCTTGAGAAGTTGACCTGGAGGAATTAGTGATGGATTGAATTTTACTTGACACCGTAATATTAATTTTTAACCACAGGTTCTTTCTCTGATCGTTTTTCTCCTTAGCTTTGGGAAATGTTTGAGAGAAGAAAAACTACTTTGACAAATTTAAATTAATAATGGCTTGTACGAACTGATCTCGAGAACATTCGATCGTTGTTTAGCATCTTTTATGCGTAAAATCGGTATTATCCTGTTGGAAACTTTTACTTTATATAAATTAAAGATATAATGGTTTGTCATTTCCGAAAATATTTTATTCTTTACAATTATTTTTGTCAAAAAAACTGAAAACAAAGTATCTAATTTACTTGACATATGTCGCAGAATTCACTGAGTTCGTCCAGAAAATTGATCTGCACTCTGATTCGGTTTGTTTTATGGAGTTTATTAGCAATGAACAATCTACACAATCTCTCCGACTATTACAAATTTGAGTCTATTTATATGTTTACATTTCGTGACTTACGTGCACTACTACAACATGAATTAATTAAGAGAGAAAATACTTAGGAAGTGTTAAGTATATACACCCTAATTGTTAATTATAATTTTGGCACACATAAAACTCTGCATGGGAACTTATAAAATCTGGCATGCAATAAAAAAAATATAAATGAAATATCCTAAATTATACAACAACATACAATTTAAATAGCTCAACACGCTAACATTGTTGGCAAAAAATTCATTATAGTCATGTAATATCTTCTATTTAGAGGCGTTAAAAATTGGCACTTTCAGCCAAACATTTTTTATTTGAAAGAAATATAAGCACCAAAACCAAATTGATAAAGACATCAATGTCTTGTGAAAGAAATGTTTTATGTAATAACATACGATGCCTTTAGCAGGAAAAGCTGCTTCATTATGTGTGTAAAGCGAGGTTTGATTAAGTGTTGCCTTTCAAAACAAAAGAATCGAAAAGTTGAGCATGTAGCATGCTGTTTCACCTATCATGAGAAATGTAGTGATTACAAACCTACTACCAACTACTTTTTACAGCACACTTCTGTGCAGATACACGAGAACGATACCAAATTTGATCACCTATACTTACACCTCAGCATACCAAGGCACCGCAACTAACGTACCTCATATGTTTAAATGCACTAGGAACACGCTTCCATCCTGTTCCTTGGGGATTACTGATTGAGATGCCTAAAAAATAAGAAACATGCATTTTTAATAAATTATTGCTGGTGCTTTTTGCTCAAAACTGCGCTTATTTATTGGAGATAACAGTTAGAATAATCTTTAGTAACTTTATCGTGTCTTAATTGTGGTTAATGGTATTTACATACTACATATATTTAAAAATGTCAGTATTGTGAGAAAATTTTGCAAACATCAGCCATTTATTTTAATAATAATTAAATACCTGTAGGACAATAAATCTTATTGTAAAATCTGTTCACTCCATATACAATCCTTTCTGGACCAGAATCAATTTGTTGAACTTTCCTGAGATTTGTTTCCAAGATGATCCTCACAAATAGAAATAAATGTCATCATGCTTATATACTCCCCAAACACCAGCTGCACCAACAGAAACGTGTTTTATGCTTCCATAAATTTGTCCACGAATAACCTTTGTTAATGCGGAAAACATTGCCATGACGGTTCACACCTCACTCACGCTCAGAGAGTCCGTGATCAATCTGTTTCAAGGAGCCTGCGTTCAAACGCCATTGTTCTGTTTGAAGATTATCAAAAATTAGAAAAAATGAGTATAGTATGATTAAATGCGCATGCATCTTGTTACTCGTTGTCGGCCAGTCTTTAGGGAGAACGTAAAAATGAATGCCCGTTAATCTGTAAGCTTTATACAGAATAAATACGTGCGAGAAGACTACTATTAATCCCTGTTTAGCATTTTAAATAGTGTCATTAGACGGTTTGATTTTAAACGGTGGATAGGCAAAAATTAAGCGGTGGAAGGAGGTATATGGGCTTTGTAGAACGCGATATTTCAAACGTTTGAAATTTATGCATAAGATAAATCATGAGAAATCTTTTCATTTTTCATACGTAGCTAGAATGCATACAAAAACTGGTCATGTCTTTTTTTCACAACGCAAATATATACGTACATAGAAAAGATTAAGGAGGAAGTCCATTGGAAAAATAATATTACAAGAGGCACCCATAATATATTAAAATCGGGAAAATTCATGTATAAAATTTATCTACTCTTTACTGCTAATCCTTTCGTAACATTTAAGTTTTTAAATATTCTTTAGAATTTGGCAAAAAACAGTGTTGTTGTTGTATTTTCAACTAAAAACACCTGCCATAATATATTATGAGATAACCTAGATGCTAGATCACCAATGTGAAAACAGTTTGCCGCTCACTGAAACAAAAGGGAGTAAAATCGATAATTTGAGACGTGCTCAAACATATTCTGGAAGGAGAAACAAACGCATTCAAGACTGACACTAGTGTTCTTCAAGGCGATCCCTTGGTGCCTTTTCTATTTATCATTGTTCTTGATTACGCACTCCGCACTTCCATCACCTGCAATGACAGACTCACACTCAAGCTGCGCCGAAGTAGCGGTTACCCAGCTGAAAAACTTGCCGATTTGGACTACGCTGATGATATTGCTCTTCTTGAAGATTGTATTGAAGCTGCTCAAGATCTCCTAAAGCGTGTAGAGAATGCCGGTCAAGAGGTTGGTCTGCACCTCAACGCTCCAAAGACTCAATACATGCATCTGAATCCATCATCTAACATTCCCCTGTTTTCATCGGATGGCTCTAAAATCAACTGTGTTGAAGACTTCAAGTACCTTGGCGGTTATTCAGATACTGAGCATGATATGTCTGTCAGAATAGCGTTGGCATGGAGTGCGCTGCATTCTCTTCAGGGAGTTTGGAAGTCTCCAATCAAGAAGTCAAAAAGACTAAAGTGTTCAAGGCTTGCATTGAAACCATCCTTCTCTACGGGTCAGATTCATGGACGCTAAATGTGAAACATAAAAAGCGTCTCGACGGCACATACCCAAGAATGCTTAGACACGCCTATGACATAATTTGGAAAAGCCGTCCCACCAACAAATCTCTGTACGGTACGCTTACTCGTGTGTCTGAAACGGTTCGTCAGTGGCGTTTGACTCTTGCGGGCCATGTTAGTCGTCATGAAGAGCCCGCTGGTAGGCTTCTGCTATGGACATTCTCAGCAAAAAGAAGAATTGGGCGCCCGTTTGTCACCCTCAAGAACATCATTGAGGATGAAACTGGCTTGTCTGGACAAGACCTGTTGACTGCAATAGCAAATCGCCAACGCTGGCACTTGGAATACGTTTATGTTTCACCTGAGCCATCTGGCATTGGATGACGCAAGGCAAGGAAAAATATTCGTAAATGTAAGAGATGCAGCAGTGTTAAGTTCCTTTGAAATACGTTTTTCTCAATGGATTACAACATACATAAATGAATATGAAACTCCCCCACCTTTTAACTTACCAGTAAACTTAAAGATTTTGTCATTGCCATCAATTTCAAAATACATGATATAAGCTAGCTGACACATGAACCAACATGGGGGCTGCAATAGATCTCCAATAGGTTCCAGCAGGCTTAGAGGAGCTAATTCCTTCACGTACATAAAAATTTCTTTCTTTGCTCACCCAATAAACATCCTCACTGACTGTTGCCTTTAAATAAAAAGTTTGTAAACTTTTAAATGTAAGTGAGCGGTGCTGTTTTTAAAAAATAGGCGATGTTTGGAGATTACGCAGAAATACCCTTCTTACATTTTCAGAAAAGGAGCAGTGTCTCCTTATTTTGAATGGTAAGAACTGGCATTTAAAAAATATATACAAAATTTATTTTGTTTGGACATAACACATAAGTATCAGCAGCAGCTGAATGAGTTTTAGAGTTACGCCACTTAGGAAGTTGAATTCCAATATTTTCATTTTGTCCTTTCTCTTTAGTGAAATTCCTGCAATGAAACCAATAACCAGTTATGCCATTTATCAAACATTTAACTAGAATGAATTTAATGAAAATTTTCTTATTCACTCTATACAACGAGAGTAAATTGGTTTTGTTTCAATATTTGTTACAAGTATTGCAAATTCTCGAAAAAATATCACACTTATCAAAAAACGCTAACCTCAGATAATTAATGATAAAATGACCGGATACAGTAGAATCAAAAACACTGCTTCCATTGAATCCTTTAAGCAGATAAAGTTTGATGAAAAAGATTGGATATTAGATATGATAAATGGTATCTTCATTCAAAGAACAGTTAGACCATTTGGCCATACTGTATATTTTATTAGATCATTGGCTGCGCTTGGCTAGCTCATTGTTCCTAAACTTCCTATTGATCAGACAGAAAATACCATGGTATGGGTACCATGAATGCATATTCATAGATTCCATTGTGCCCAACTGATTTCTTTTGAAAGTGATTTGAATTTCAAAAGAGGTCAGTAGGGCACAACTGAATGTATTAATATACACACACACCCCAATTAACGTTCTAGTAATACCATGACCTCCATGGTATACCATTTTAAATACATACATGCCTGATAAAATAGGCGTTAAAAATATGGAAATGCTCCATGCTCTCAATACTGTGGGCAGCTTACTAAAAAAAAAGTAGTATCTGAGTAAGTACTTATCAGTGTATTGCTAATAAATGCTATTTGACATCATATCACTTTACTGATATCGCCATTAATGCTCAAAATATAAATAAACTATTACTGTCTACAATGCCTCACAGAAAGAGCATATTTTGTGAGCGACAGATATATTGCTGATGATATCCAGTATACTATTTGTGAGCTAAAAGATCTTTTGTGTTCTGGGTTCGGGTACTCTGTGTCAACAACAATCTAGGGATCCTATAAGGATAATGCAAAGTTTCGATTCAAAAAGCAAAAAACGCTCAACATGCCAAATGTATTAGCCTTGATACGATAAACTAATGAGAATAAATGA